AAAAAATCTACTACCAGATATAGAAATAATAGATCTTACAGAACAAATGAATAGATTAACCATCCAAGATAGAAAACACTATCAAGATTCTAAAAAAGAAAAATCACAAAAAAGAATCAGAGAACAAAAACGCGAAAAGACATTACAAATAACAAATGAGTTCTTAAATAAATATAGAACTGAAGAAGTGACTAAAAAGAAAAAGATGTTACTACCACCAACACCAAAAAATATAACAACATTATTAAATAAAAATATAAAAGAAATAAAACATAAACAGGAACAAGAATTTCAAAATAAACAATTCGTAAAAGATCTAGAAGAATTAATGGTAGAAATTACCAATATAGAAAACAAATATGAGGCAATCCAACAGATGTCCAGAACTAAACTTGAAGAAGTATATCAACAAATATGAACTATACCTTCTCTATCACAAGAAATAAGAAAAATACAAGACAATGAAACGCCAAGAGAAAAGATTTACACTTTTCTAAACTGGCACAAAGAACAACAAGAACCTACTAAACAATACTATAAAAATGAAATAGCAGAGCAAGAAAGAAATTACCAATACACATATGATGATGCTATACAAATACAATCTAAATAATTTGTAAATATGCCAATGGCAGACAAACAACTAGTTATGCAACAACTAGTAGAAGAATCCAATAGTAATAGAAACCCGAAAAAATAAGAACAAGCTCGTCAAAGGTACTTTGATAATCTAATGATGAAAACAAAAAGATTTGATCACGTTAAACAAATCTAACAATGACAACAAAACCAAAGTAATGTAATAAAAGATGAAAATTCAGATAGTATAAAATCTGACACAAACTCTTTCCACTGATCCTTTGAACACAAATTCATCATAAACAAAAATTAACAAAAAATAACAAAATACATATTTTTGCTAAAGAAAACACAGTTCACAGTACTAAGTAAAGAGAAAGAACACACAAAATAATACCTAGTTTCTTAAGAGACAAAGGTAAAAAAAGCCAAAACTTTGGACAGAAAAGAAGAAAAATGGCAAAGAACTGACAAAATTTTGCTCTTTGCAAACAATTTTGGGGAATTGCACTTGACTCTGTACTGCAGATCTGTTGTTGTTGTACAAAATAGAATACGTGTTTAGGAATAAACAAAACAATCTAATTTTAGATTACGTGACAGATGTAAACAAAGGAATAGTATATAGAAAATCAGATACTGAAGAAAAAGAAGATTCTAGAAAACAAAACCAGACTACAGAGATAGTAGATAAACCGATAGAAGAGTATCTAGAAGAACTAAAGCTTTACCAAGACTGGATTACTGATCTTAGAAAAACAAGAGAAGAGTAGCAAGCACTTCGAGAGAAAAATCTAAAAGAGAGCTTAATTCAACAACTCGGACAAGAAAATTTATTTTGGATAGTACAAGACGATGAAAAAGAAGATAAGAAAAACCTAGAAAATTCAACAAATACAGAGGTATTTGATATACAAATAGAAGATTATATGAAGAAGTTAGAGCAAGATAGAGTATAGATCCAATCTCGTAGACAAAAAAGTTTAGAGGAAAGATCACAACAAAGAAAGAAAAGAATAGAAGATTCTTTTCAACAAATCGTAAAAGTATATACATATATTATAAAACAAAACCAGAAAGAGAAAGGAAATAATGAGGTGATATTTCCTAACAAAGATGACTATCTAGAAGAATATATAGAGGAATTAGAACAATACAAGAAGTGGATAGCAAATCTTAAAGAGAAAAGAGCGAAGCAAGAAGAATACCAAAGAAGAAAAAAAAGAGAAAATCTTGGATATCTTTTTGAAGAATTAACATCAAGTTACCTTTAACTACAAGACCAATTAGAAGAAGAAGTTATAGGTAGTAAAGAAAAAGAAGCTAACCAAATA